CTAGAGAAAAAGGAGCAGTTTATCCTTACAGTGCAGGGGTAGACCCACTGAAAGGATTAATTTGTCTAAAACCTGGAGTCGTTCTTTTTAAATAAAATGATGACTAGAGTTATATGTTTAGTCTCATAAAAGGTTACATTTTTAAATATCTCAGGGCTGCAGCTCCTCAATTCAGCCTCTGAGCACCACTGTTTGATCAATAAGGAAAAAACACAGAGCTGGAGGTCCACTAGCATTTTTATCTCAGTCACTCACACTGCAGATCTGCAAAAAGGGGAAAGGCCATTTCTCAATTCTCTCCACAGATGATTTGGATGATTTGCTCTTATTTGTATAAATGTATTAATCAAGATATGCTGCCCACCTTCATGGTCTAAAGGATAGATGCAGGACATTACAAGGAATATAACATACTTTAAATGGCTGAAATGAAGCTTTATACTCCGATATACAAAAGAATGTGTCATTCAATCTATGGGCAGATTCATTATTATATTGCAGAATAAATTAAAATGACTACCTGATGGCAAATATTGCAAGTGATCTTGGACTAGATATTAGTCCGCTTTCATTGAGAAAACTGAGAATTGTATCCCATGCTTCAGAAAAATATTTTTATGTGAATCTAGATAAAATGGAAATCTGTATGTAAATGACAGGAAATACAAAGAGACACTCTGTAGGACAGAAACTACCTGCTTCCTAGCCTTTGATGCTGTGGTCAGAATTCTACCCGACGTGACCCCATTTTTTATATTTTAACAAAAAATTGGGTATTATATTCTGTTTCTGTGCACTAAATTTAATTTTAGTGTATTGTATTCTAAAAATACTGGTTTGATAAACATTTGCGCAAATACTGTGCAACATAAACATTTGCAACTAGCATTTTTGTATTCTGCAGGGCCTCTGATTTCAAAAAATATTATTGTTTGGGGGTTTGAAGTTGTTTTTGTAGCCCAACATTCAGATTTTATCACATGTGTGCAAACAGTAAGAAATTGCTCCGGACAGCAAGTTGTTACAAAAATGCCGATGATCTAGATCTAGAATATTGGTATTAATTCTGTACAGACATACAAGCTCAGTGACAATCAATATTTTACACTGGCTGAGAACATCAATTCAGATGGAAGTACAGAATACCTACAAGGTCTTCTATGGACAATGAGCAACAGTCCTCATACAACAGTCAGTAGCTACTGACAGAGGATCTTCCCCACTTTCAAGCAGAAGAACCATCAGGCTGGAGATATCAGATACTAATGACAATACACCAGTATTTAAATTTACTTATGTTGCTTATATATTGCTTGTATACCAAAGAACAATTTGAAGAACAATTTGGTAGGAGCCTCAATATACAGAATGTAAGCTTCAGATCCTGATACTGGAGACAACTGGAGACAATGCATAAGGATAGTCTTGTAGTGTCTTCCTACTTTTCCATCAACATGGAGGCAGGAGTTCTGTATGCTTAACAATCAGTCGATTATGAGCAACGCAAGGAGTTCCTAATTCAAGTAATTGTGAAAGACAATGAATGGATCCCCATCCTTTAATGGCATAGCTATAATAATTATTAGCGGATCAGAAGGATAATGCACCAATTTTTTTTATCCATCACAAGATGATGGAGGGTCTGCAGTGTTTGCGATTGTTCCTTTTGCCTCCAAGCAAGGTTCTTGCAGCAAAGGTAATTGCAGTAGATGCAGACTCTGGACATAATTTCTGGCTCTTTCATCATTTTCTACAAGTTTTAGTACCATTTCACAATATCCACTCCAATACCTGAAGAGTCTACAAATGACACAATGGTAGCTCTGACTGAGTGAGCATACGGGGGAATCAGGACATTTCATGTCTTTCTGGGAAAAGATGTATTAAGTTATACAGTTGTAGTGATGTTAAAGGACAATGGAATTCCACCTCTTTCAGCTACTGTGACCTTAAGCCTTCTGGTGGCAGTACATTTTCAAAAGGTGGTTCCTAAAATCAGAAATCCAACCAGACCACCATTTCTTTGTCCCATCCATGCCACATCAGTCCTGATATTTGTTACTTCCACTCTTTACACATAGCGACCATTCACCTCTCTACCCTATTCCTTATGATCATTAGGTTTTGTTCGGGACATTTACTTGTGCATTACCCTTTTCTTTCGATCCACCTCGTTCAGTTCTGTCTCTCCAATTGTTGGCTCTCATGAGCTCTGGTTTATTGTGTACTAGTTGATTGCACTCTTATATACATTGATATGTCTCATTAACCAAGACATGTAGCTACTTTTTTTATTTTGTAAGTGTATCTTTGTTTTCTTTTTCTCTATTGCACTGGTTATTCAATTGATATTTCTTGATAAAATGTCTGTTCTCATAATAAAATGTACATGCTTAAAAAAAAAGAAATCCAACCAGACGCTCCCCAAACCGCTCTGCAGTTATATTTAATGGTTGCTTTAGCACTCATTTCCTTTTTGCTTATTCTACTATAATTCTATTTAATATATCAAAATGTAGTAAAGCGAAGACCATACGACCTTTGGAACTTTAAGCACACATTTCTATCATCCAACCAATCCTAGAATGCTCTCCACACAGTGATGGAACATTACCTCTTACTTGCACAATGTTTGTGTCACTCTGGACAGTAAAGTAAAAATTACTTGACCTATGTAAAGTCTGAGTAAAATGTTCTAGCGGACAATCTTATTAACATCGTTGTCCCAGGACTAAGAAACGATAGTTTAAACCAAGGTTTGACATCCAGTAACAAGGCAAGTAAAATGTAAATTAAACATGATATTTACTCTAAAATCATAGAATTGTAAAATGAATCTTTTAATTGAGGAAGCTTTCAAAACAACTGTATATAAAGCTGTTTTATGATGCAACTTTTTATCCAAAGTCTAACATTTACCAATTTTGAACATGTAATCTATGCTACAGTGATTTAAATGTATTTATAATCTGAATAATAAATATCTAAAACTGTTATATAATATATTCAGTGTAAATCTGTATCTTTGGCAGACTTACCAACCTTTTTGAAGTCCTTTACTTTTATATGCCTAATGCACATTAATGTGATAATTTTGCAGTGTTTCACTCTTGGTGTAAGACCATCCAGAAATTCATGTAAGTCTATGATTGTTTTTCCATTAAAATATAAAAATGCCCAATAAGGGGGGGTCATAGGTGGGTAGAGGGTGGAGAGACATCTGATCATACAACTTGGCATTGTAGGGTCACCAGCACACACTACAACACTCATCCAATGTGTGATCCAGTTGGGAAATATTAGTGTGCAATAAAAAGCACCTCCTTCTGTTGGGAGATGAGAAAGGATTTAGTTGTGTTAGCTGAAAATTAACTCTGAAGTATAGTTTTCAAAAATCAAGCCAGTTGATCGTGCAAAAGTTCATTTATTTCACTAATGCAACTTAATGTAGTGAGTCTATATATGAGATAGACTCATTACATGCAAAGCAAGATAGTTCATGCCGTGATTTGTCATAATTGTGATGATTATGGCTTACAGCTCATGAAAACCCCAAATCCACAATCTCAGAAAATGTTTACATTACATGCAATCAATAAAACAAGGATTGTACATAAAACATTATCGGACCTCTGAAAAGTATAAGCATGCATATGTACTCAGTACTTGGTTTGGGCCCCTTTTGCAGCAATTACTGCCTCAATGCGTCGTGGCATGGAAGCTACAGCCTGTGGCACTGCTGAGGTGGTATGGAAGACCAGGATGCTCAATAGCGGACTTCAGCTCTTCTGCATTGTTGGTCTCATGTCTCTCATGTTTCTCTTGGCAATGCCCCATAGATTCTCTATGGGGTTCAGGTCAGGCGAGTTTGCTGGCCAATCAAGCACAGTAATCCCACGGTCATTGAACCAGGTTTTGGTACATTTGGCAGTGTGGGCAGGTGCCAAGTCCTGCTGGAAAATGAAGTCAGCATCCCCATAGAGCTTGTCTGCGGAAGGAAGCATGAAGTGCTCCAAAATCTCCTGGTAGACGGCTGCGTTGACCCTGGACTTAAAGGTGAACTATGAGGTCAGGGCTTTTCCCCATAGTTCTCCTTAGGGTAACGGGAGGACACAAACTAGCATCCTCCCGTCACCCTAAGCTCAGTATACCTTAAACCAAGTATTGTCTAGAAAGTGTAGAAGAGGCAGATATTGGAACTAATTCTGTGCATTCATTCAAGCTCAGTGATAATCAGCATTTCACATTGAGTGAATTTATCAATGTAGATGGAAGTCATTTTTTAGAACTTGTGTTGGGAAAATCTTTAGACAGAGAGAAATTAGATGTCCTACTTTTTTTAGCGTATACCACTACAGTGCATTGGTGTAAACTGAATATATAGGGTAAAAGGCATTTCGCTTTGTTTATGTGTTAGGACTGCGTTGGACAAGGCCTAATGCATAAAGTGACCTTTGCAGCCTTTTCTAAATATGTTTTTTTTTTTTAACAAAGCTGATTTGCTAAAGCTAACATATTCTTTCGTAATCCACATGAAGAGTATATTCTAATAACAGATCCACTTTAATATGTATTTTGATTGAAAAGGTCTCAGTATTATTAAAAATTGCCAAGATAGACAAAACTTACAATTTACAGTAAATTTACAATTTACTGTATTTTAAAAGCTTTTAAATAACTATAATATTGCCTTTGTTTAATATTCCCAACGTTGAGAAACAGACATTATTCGAACTCCACAATCAGTAATAAGTTAAAAGTATTTCATTTCACCTCAGAGCGCCGCTGTTTGACCAATAAGAAGACGTATACTGAGCTGAAGATCCACTAGTATGCTTATCACTCACATACTGCAAATTTGCACAGAGGTGCACAGCCATTTTCTGAATTCTCTGTGCACACCAAAATACAGAATATTTACTCTTGTTTTTTGTGGATGGATTAAGCAAATGAACTTCCTAGCCCATTGGACTGGACTTTTATTTTATTCTAGATAGCAAATGCTGAGAATGGATCAGATGAAACCTCACACACAGATATACAAAGGAGTAAGTTGGCAAGTACTATTTTTCTTCTTATTTCCCTGGCTTTGTCATTCAGTATCTGGTCAGATTCATTATTCCATTGCTGAAGAAATGAGAAAAGACTCTGTCATTGCAAATATTGCAGATGATCTGGGATTAGATATTAAACAACTCTCATCTAGAAAGCTGAGAATTGTATCACGTGTTGCAGAAAAATATTTATTTGTGAATTTAGACAATGGAAATCTGTATGTGAAGGACAGGATAGACCGAGAAGCACTCTGTGGGGCAGAAACAACCTGCTTCCTAACCTTTGATGCTGTGACTGAATATCCTTTTAACATTGTTAAGTTCAGAACTGAAATTGAGGATATAAATGATAACTCCCCCAGATTTACTCCTGATTCATTTTCTATGGAAATCATAGAATCAGCTCTGCCTGGAACAAGACTGACATTACAGAATGCAGAAGATCCTGATATTGGTGCTAATTCAATAGACACATATAAGCTCAGTGATAATCAACATTTTACACTAACTGAAAGTATAAGTCCAGATGGGAGCAAATTTCCTGGACTTCTGTTAGAAAAGCCTTTAGATCGAGAGACACTTAAGGAGCATGAATTAATTTTAACAGCATTAGATGGAGGACATCCTGAGAGGTCTGGGACAGCTATAATAAAGATCATTGTCACTGATGCTAATGATAATGTTCCATTATGTACTCAACAACTGTATAAAGCCAGTGTGATTGAAAGTGTACCAATCAATACAAATATAATTACTGTAAATGCAACTGATAAAGATGAAGGTATCAATGGAAAAATTACGTATTCATTTAGCAAAACATCAGGTAATATTCATCACACAGGCATGTTTAATATTAATCCTAGTAGTGGTGAAATTAAGACAAAGAGAGCTTTAGATTTTGATACAGCAAGAAATTATGAACTTTCTGTACAAGCTAAGGATGGAGGTGGTTTTGTAACTCATTGCAAAGTATTGATAGAAGTAATTGATGTCAATGACAATGTTCCTGAGATAATAATTAGCTCCTTCTCTACTCCCATACCTGAGGATTCTGCAGTTGGCACTATGATAGCTCTAATTGAAATTCATGATCAGGATTCTGGAGAAAATGGGGAGGTTGACTGTCAGATAATTGAAGCAATACCTTTTGATTTGATCGTGTCCTCTGACAGCTATTACAGAATAGCTACAAGATCTCTTATGGACAGAGAACAGCAGTCATCTTATAATATTACAATTTTAGCTACTGATAGAGGCTCTCCTTCTCTTTCCAACAGAAGAACCATCAAACTGGACATATCAGATGTTAATGACAATGCGCCACTTTTTATGAAATCTACCTATATTGCTTATGTGCCAGAGAACAATTTACCAGGAGCCATGATCTACAGAATACAAGCATCTGATCCTGACAGCGGAGACAATGCTAAGATTCTTTATTCCACTTTGGGTATCAGTTTAGAAGTTCAGCCTCTACCTTCCTTCATATCTATTAACTTGGAAACTGGAGTTCTGTATGCTCAGAAATCTTTTGATTATGAGCAGTGCAAGAAATTCAAAATAGAGGTAACTGCCAGAGACAGTGGATCCCCATCTCTGAACAGTAGTACAACACTAATTATACATATTTTGGATCAAAATGATAATGCACCAACAATTTTGTACCCATCTCCAGAAATTAGTGGATTACCTATCTTTGAGATGGTTCCTTTTTCCTCTGAACCAGGTTCTTTAATTACCAAGGTGGTTGCAGTGGATGCAGATTCTGGACATAACTCTTGGCTCTCTTATCACTTCATTCATGTGTCAGAGACATCTCATTTTATTATTGATGAACACACTGGAGAAATCAAGACGTCACGTGTCTTTCAGGAAAAGGAGCTGTTAAATCATAAGGTTTTGGTGATGGTGAAGGACAATGGGATCCCCTCTCTCTCAGCTACAGTCACCTTAAGCCTTGTTGTTGCAGATAGTTTCCAGCAAGTGGTTCCTAAAGTCAGCAATCACATCAATGAAGATCCTCAAACCAATGTGCAATTATATTTAGTTATTGCACTAGCACTGATTTCCTTTTTATTTATTTGTACTGTAATGCTGGTCATTATATCAAAATGCAGAGAAGAAAAGCATGCACCAAACCTTGGATCTCTAAGTGCTAGCCTGTATCCTCCAGCTGATCCTAGAATACTCTCCATGTATAGCAATGGAACATTACCTTATACCTACTCATACAATGTGTGTGTGGCTTTAGACTCAACGGATGACTTCACCTATGTACAATCTAACAAAAATGTCACTGTGGATAATCTTATGGATGCTGATGACTCTGGACTTCAAAATTACAGCTTACAACAAGCTTTGCCATCTAGTAATGAGGTGAGTAATATGTAATACTGTATATATTTATATTTATATATTCCTTGTGCTTCCTTGTGTGAGCATATGTTTATTGTCAATCCAGAACATGTTGCAAATGACATGAAATGGAAGGAAATATGGTACTCCGGCCCCCATAGTAACAATAATTAAATCTAGACAGAAAACACACTAACACACATTTAAATTAAAATATTAAATAAATATTTATACATAAGTATAAGGTTAAAAAAAATAGAATAAGGATAAATACTACTAATACTTTAACAGCTGTTCAGTATAATGCAGACTTACATACTCTTACAGCATTGGGGAAGCTGTTCCTCAGCTTGGTGGTTCTAGCCCTGATGCTGCACAACCTCCACCTTAAAACGGTCAGAAACAACCCATAAGCTGGATGGGAAGAATCCCTCATGATATTATAAACATTATTGATGGTGGTTAGCTTGCTGTCAGTGATCCTCTGTGCACTCTTTACCAGCTACTGCAGTGCCCTTCTCTTTGCAGCAGTTACCATACCCCATGGTGATGCAAGAGGTGAGGATTTGTTTTTACCAAACACCTATGAAAGGAAGTGAGGACTGAAGTGCCCCATTTATTTTATTTCAGCCTCCTCAAAAAGTAAAAGCACTGGCCAGCCTTCTTCACTATGCTGGTTGTATTGTCGCTGCACACTGCAGGTGAGAATATAAGAGATGTGCACCCCCAGGTATTTAAAACATTTTTTTAATTTTTATTACAGGTATTTATATAGAGCCGACAATTTACACAGCACTTTACAAAGAGCACATTCACATGAGACCATCGCAACAACTACACACCCAATGTTGAGTATAGGAGGAGTGGTACCAGTCTTCCACAATCATCTACTTTGTTTTCTTTACCTTGATGGAGAGATTACTTTGCACTAGACCTCTATTTTCTCCAGGTCTTTACCTATGGTTGCAAAGCAATATAATATGTTTAGTTTTGCACCGTAATATCTGTTTAAAGGGGTAAGAAAACTACCTTCAACTCCCAGTAGTCTATGATCAAGATAGAAAGTTACAAGTTGCAGTTGCACCTTCCTGACTCATTTGGACTTTGAGAACCATTCTTGGCCATCTTTGCCTTCCTAGATGTGCGTATGAGGGGCTTAAGAAATTATCCACAATAGGGGAGGACATGAGTTGGCCCAGATTTGTTTACTGTGATCATATGTAGTTATAAAATAATTATGTGTATTGCAGCATCCATCAGATACTCATAATTGGCTCTTGATGGCCACATGCAGATCAGGGTAAAGGGTCATGTCATCAATGACATTTTTTCATGAAGGTTATGTGTGACATTATCTATCTGTTGATTTTTGTACTTATATTTATTAAGTAAATATAAGTGCAAAATTAATATAAAGATATCAATTTCATTGAGATCATCTTTTCCAATTGTGCTAACAGATCAGTTGTACTATATTCACAATGCACATAACCATTGCTTTTAATGCTAGCATAGCATGTATGCAAGATGCATTTGGATATTGTTTTGTCTTTTTTAGGTATTTGGTAAAGTTGTGTAGACTTCCTTATAGCAGATTTACCCCCATTTTTAAGCTTTAGTTATTCAGTCAGAAGGCACAGGGCACATGAAGATTTTCATGTGCTAGCTTGTCAACAGCCTGACCTCATACACTATTTCCTAACTTCTAAAATTAACATAACAGTATCATGTAACCTAGCCCCATGATTGAAAGGGATGTATACAAACTCAAGACTTTTTGATTTGATACGGCTATGCATACTGAGAAGCTGTGACGGTTTGTGAGCCCAGTCAGTTCAAACTGAAAGTCAGTAATCCTAAATAAAGGGGAAACCCAAATGTTTTAAAAACCAGTGCAATTGCAATAATATAAAACTGAATATCCCAATTCTTTTATCATTTCAATCATGGCTGGCTCTTTTTAACAGTTGACTCTGTTGTAATAATATATATCATTATTTGCACTCTACTTGTGTAAATACCAGTTTGATGTGCTTGCAATCAAACAGAATGTTGTGATCTGGTAGACTTGCTACTCTAGAAAATCCTCCAGAATTTGAACAGAAGTATGAAGTGTTAGTTTTAGTCAACTTTATACAGTCAAATTGTTAAAATAATTGGAAAGGGTGCTAATTCTGTCACAGAGTATGATGGCTATACATAATAAAAGAGAATAAAAAGGTATTATTTTTATAATAGAAACGATTGTCACCAAGATAAAAAGTAATGGGAATTCCAGAATTTAGAGTTGTCACCAGAACACGAGGTCGGGGCAAATAGTCGAATGTGGACAACTGTCCTGGGGAACTTATATAAACAGAGATTTTCCTCAATTTGTAGAGATATCTTCTCATTTTCTATTGGTACTCCAGGATAGGAAGTAAAGGGAAACCACACCAAATGGACACGGAGTGCAAAAGATAAACTGACATGGATTTTAGACCCTACTCTATCAAAAATTCAAAAAAGTTGTGGCTGTACATACACTTTAAGTCATCTAGTGTCAACTTTATAAATAATAAGAGGCCAGGCAAATGTTTTCACTGCTTGTTCAATGGCTGTTTCTTATTTATTGTTTGTATTATGTATTTACTAACATTACAGGTTTCATTTGATGCTTACATATTGACACTATAAAGTTTTCTTGAGGTAAACAATGATTGTCTAACTTCCATTTTGTAGGAAATCTACTTTTAATCTGCATTTTATACATCTTACATATAGCACTTCAGACATGAAATCTTCTATTCAAAATAAATTGTTCTACAACACTTTTAAGATGAGCCTTATAAACTGCTCATGTAGATCCGCTTTCTTCAGTAGAACTGGGTTACTACCAAAAAGATCACAGAAACTAAAATCCCAAAACTGAAGTATTTGGAATATTTCAAGGAAACATTCAGCTGGGGTAGACTCATCATATGCTATAATGATACACCCAGCAGAATCTCTGGTAACAATGGAAGTCTGGAAACCCATCTACAAGCATAGCTGGATTTATTAGAATTAGATTTATACTCTGAACTAACAAAAATATGTTTAGTCTATAGTAAACTTTGTGATCCCTAGTAACAGCTCCTAGACAGGTATATCATTGTCTACAACAGTTTAGTTACATACTAACATAGTAGGTAAGGATGAATAAAGATGCAGGTCCACCCTGTTGTATGTGTGTGTGTGTGTGTATACTTTACTAAGATTAAACCCACTCTCTTCCAACCTCACGCTGTGTCCTTGTTTCATGAATAGACTTCTCAGTGTAAACAACTTATTTACGATATTGTGGTCCCGATTAATCATTTTGAAAATGGCAATTGAGATTGATAACACATCTACCCATCCCTCCTGCCATGCCAAGGTGATAGGTGTCCTCCTTGACTCAGACCACACCTTTCTGCCCCACATCCAATCACTATCCAAATCCTGCCACCTTCACCTTTGTTACATCTCCAAAAGACACCCCTTCCTCACCAATGAAACCACATCGCTACTCATCCACTCACTTGTTATCTTTTGTCTTGACTATTGCAGCTCCCTTCTCATTGGCCTACCTCTACACAAGCTACCCCCCTTCAGTCTATCATGAATGCTGCTGCTAGACTCATCCACCTAACCAACCGCTCAGTGTCTGCAACCGCCTTCCCCTAATTCCTCCACTGGCTTTCAATCGCCCAAAATGATAACATTCAAAATATTAACAACCACTTACAAAATCATCGTTAACTCTGCCCCCCGGCTATATCTCAAACCTGGTCTCAAAGTATCACCCTAACTGTCCCCTCCCCTCTTCCAAAGACCTCCTGCTTTCTAGCTCCTTCGTCAACGCCTCCCATCCTCTGGAACCCTATACCCCAACCTGTCTGCCTATATCCTACTCCGATTGCCTTTATGTGATCCCTAAACACTCATCTCTTCAGGGAAGCCTATCCAGCCTCAAACTAACCACCGATACTATCTCTCAAACATTTCATCCCCACACAGCTACCTCCTCATGTATCACTTGCCCCCTCCCTTTTAGACTGTAAGCACTCCGGGGCAGGGCCTTCCCTAAATTGTATTGTAATTGTAATGTTTTCCTTATATTGTAAAGCGCTGCGCAAACTGTTGGCCCTATATAAATCCTGTATAATAATAATAATTAGGTCCCTATGTAAGCACTTATTTTCTAGTTAAACACCCTGGTTTACTAATTACTAATGCATTGTTTACCAATAGATACAACATTTTCTTTATCCCTTTGTGGTAATTTTTCCTTACCCTTTTGCCGCCCTCTCAAAATAAAGGTCTAGACCAAATCTCTGTACTTACCTACATCTTACTGCGAGGCCCCACAGCATTGTTTACATCCCACTTCAAACTCGATACTGCTGTGCAGTTTGTCCCCATAGATTTAGATAGGGCTGAAAGATGGATCAGCTTCATCTGTCTACCACCCCATAAAAGTCTATGCTTAGGGATAGATGATTGATAAAGAAGTCACTGAGAGATGTAAACAATGCCACATGCCTTGCAGTGACAACCAGGTAAGTATAACAATTTGGAGAGGGCTAGACCTACTCAGGTACGATGGGGGAAAAAAGATAAGGAAGTATTTGTGAGACAATTTCCTTACATTTCCAAGCATCTTGTAACTAGAATCTACCACAATAAACATCACAGAGTGTTCTAATAAATAGTGTGATAATGTTGCAGACTAAGACAGGTCAAATTAAAATTGCAATTGCTGAATACAGGAAAACAGAATCACTCTCTTTAGTAAAAAATATGCAGTGTTTTATCTTAATCAAATGCAGTTTTAAATACTTTTTTATTTTTTACGTTTTAACATGAATTTCTTTGGCAATTCAGTTAGTTTGTTGCATACATCTGTAAAATGTGCCAGTTATAATGTATTATCTTGACAATAAATTCTGAGAGCTGCAGTTCCTCAGTTTAGCCTCAGAGCGCCGCTATTTGACTCTTCTTGACAATAAGAAGAGGAATATAAACCTAAAGATCCACTGGTGCTTTCATACCTCACACATGCTGCAGATCTGCAAGAAGACACAGTCACTTCCAGGTTTTTTTTCTAGGACTACAGACAATAATTCCTTTTTTTTAAAAGAAAGATTTTTGTTATGATTTCTCTCTTACCTTGGATTATAAAAAAATCACATCTTATAGATGCTTCAATTGAGGAAGATGGCTAAGACATACAACCCCCATACTCAGAACTGCAAAAGAATCAAATGGCAAGTAACATTCTTCTTCCTGTTTCTCTGGCTGTGTCATTCAGTCTTAGGTCAGATTCATTATTCCATTGTAGAAGAAATGAGAAAAGACTCTACTATAGCAAATATTGTGAAGGATCTTGCATTAGATATTAATCAGCTTTCATCAATACAATTGCAGATTGTATCAGATGTTTCACAGAAATATATTTATTTCGATCTAAACAATGGAAATCTGTATGTGAAGGACAGGATAGATCGAGAGACACTGTGTGGGACAGCAGCTACCTGCATCCTAACCTTTGATGTGCTAGCTGAAAATCCCTTAAAAGTTTTTAAGGTAAATGTTGAAATACAAGATATAAATGATAACTCTCCAGTGTTTTTCCAGGATACCATTACTTTGCAAATCCCTGAATCTGCTTCAATAGGGACCCATTTTGCTTTAAAAAATGCAGAAGACCTAGATATTGGAATGAATTCAGTACAAACTTACAGGCTTACTGACAATCAATATTTTACACTGACAGAGAAGATCAGCAGTGATGGGAGTAAATCTCCCAAGCTTTTTATAAATAAAGCTTTAGATCGAGAGATACAAAACAGTCATGAATTAATTCTAACTGCTTTAGATGGTGGAGATCCTATTAGAACTGGAACTGCTTTAATAACAATAACTATTACAGATGCCAATGACAATTTTCCTGTATTTAACCAAGAAATGTATAAGGTTTTAATAAAGGAAAATGTTCCCATCAACTCTACAGTGATCATTGTTGAAGCAACAGATAAAGATGAAGGCAGCAATGCACAAATCACTTATTCCTTTACCAAGACATCTGGAAATGTTCACCATACAGGTGTTTTCAGCATTCATCCTATACATGGGCACATAAAAGTAACAAAATTGCTGGATTTTGAAGTAACAAAAAAATATGAGCTGTCTATTCAAGCAATGGATGGTGGCGGCCTTGCTGCCCACTCCAAGGTGTTGGTAGAAGTTGAGGATGAGAATGACAATGCTCCTAATATATTCATAACTTCACTTTCTTCTCCTGTTTCTGAGGATTCTGCTTCTGGGACAGCAATAGCTTTGGTTAGAGTCCATGATAAAGATTCAGGAGAAAATGGAGATGTGAACTGCCAACTTTTGGAACTTGTACCTTTTCAGTTAGTATTATTATCTGATAATTACTACAGAATAGTTACAACAAGTGACATGGACAGGGAGAAAGTAGCATTTTATAACATCACAATATTAGCAAGTGACAAAGGATATCCTTCACTGTCCAGTCAAAAAATTATCAAAGTAGAGATATCCGATGTTAATGACAATCCACCAGTTTTTATGAAATCAAGTTATATTACTTATATACCAGAGAACAATTTACCAGGAGCCTCAATATACAGTATACAAGCTTCAGATCCAGATACTGGAGACAATGCTAAAATAACCTATTCAATTTTAAGTAAAAATAAAGAAGATATTTTGTTGTCCTCTTATTTGTCCATCAATATTGAGACAGGAGCTCTCTATGCCCAGAGATCATTTGATTATGAGAAGCAAAAAGAATTTATATTGCAAGTGACTGCTATGGACCATGGATCTCCATCTCTAAACAGCAGTATAAAGTTGATTATACATATAGTGGACAAGAATGATAATGCACCTAAAATCCTTTACCCATCTCCAGAAAGTGCTGGTTCTGCAGTGTTTGAGATGGTCCTGTTAGCCTCTGTTCCGGGTTCTTTAATAACAAAGGTGGTTGCAGTGGATGCAGACACTGGACATAATTCTTGGCTTTCTTATCATTTTATTCAAGTGCCAGGTCCAGCTTACTTTATCATTGATGAACACACAGGTGAAATCAGAACATCACGTGCCTTTCAAGATAAGGATATACTGAATCATAAAGTTGTGGTCATGGTAAAGGATAATGGGTATCCCTCTCTCTCTGCTACTGTTACATTGAGTCTTGCTATTGCTGATAATGTTCAGCAAGCAGTTCCAAAACTTGGTAACCAAATCACTGAAGAAGACCCTCAAACAAATCTGCAGCTTTACTTAATAATCGCCTTAGCCCTCATTTCTTTGTTATTCATTCTAACTGTCATGATAGCCATCATATCAAAATGCAAAGAGTCTCAATCACCCCAACTTTTTGGCCCTTTAAGTTCTAATTTGTATCCTCAACTAGAGTCCAGAATACTTTCCCAATATACAAATGGGACCCTGACACTCCCCTATAACTTTTGTGTGGCTTTAGAATCAACTGAACATGATTTTACATTCATTAAACCAAATGAAAATGTCTCAGTGGACAATCTTCTAGATACTGATGACTCAGGACTTGGAGCTGAAAATGGGAATGTTCTCCTAACATTGAATAATCATACTGAGGTGAGTTTTTAGATGAACCTTTTCATATGCAGCTGCTTATTCATTTCATGTCTTTTTTTTATCCACTTTAAATAGACTTTAAATTAACCAAATCTGCAGTGGTGACATCAATTACATTGGTATTTTTAACCTCACTTTGGAAGTAATAGTCCCCTGGGATTTAGAAAACAGCATCTTCCAACTTGTTCAATTTTCCAGCAAGTTGTCATATTGTTAATTCATCATATTTTTCTCTTGTGCTATATGAACAAAAACCTCTATTGTATAAATGAAATGCATTATTTGTATGTGTAAAACAGCAGATTGTGAATGTCTTAAGATATATAGTTAGTCAGATTAAAAAAAGACACAAGTCCATTGAGTTCGACCTATGAACCCTATGTATATGTCCTGGGTACATTAGATAACCTACTTCCTTCTTGTCTTGGTATACTTTGAATACTGCAGAATTCTAACATTATGAAAAAAGGATATTTGTACATTTGCATTGTATTTGTTTTTGCTTGTGACAGTTCCATGGTTTTGTTCATATAAAAAAGAAGTCCAATTCTTGGTGGCAGAAGGGTTTTCCTCCAGCTGTAAAAACTCTTTAGGTAGAGCTGCAATAATAAGTTTGGTGGGACTATGGCTTTGAAGTACTAGTTCCTGAAATATACTTCTAAAGTAGTAATAAAGCCCTTGTTTTTTTAATATATCTGTATTTGCAAATGATGCACAATATTATAAATTCTTCCTCCGAAAAATGTCTGGAAACACTTACTTTTAATGCTTTTACAGGCACATCCTCTAGGTCCCTCTGCACAGCTTCCTTATACTTCCAGTGTCATTGGCTTAATTCATAGTAACCTGGTCCCACTTTCTCAAGACTACATGTCCCATAATTTAAAGTGCCACAGCAGATGCACAACCCTTGCAAGATGCTTTCTATCAATCAGAAGCAGAAAGGCGTGTATCAGTGCATCTATTAGTCTCAGATATATTTACATCAGCCAGTAGTCCTCTTCCCAGGAGTGCACACAGAGTGGCTCCAGTGGGGCTCCATAGGAACCTGCAAGCCAAGCAGGCACCCTTACAACAGAAATCAGGGCCAGCCATTGAGGTTCAGATTGAAAAGAGAGGATATAAATGCAGAGACAAAAGAAGTAAGGGTCATATTGTTGTGACTGAAATTACTGAAATGTTTATAATTTGCTGTATGTATCTTTTCAAGGGTCACTTGGGTGATACTGATGTAAACAGAGTATGCTCTTAAGGAACTTAGAAAACTCACATAGGTACAAGGGTGTTACACAGAAAAGGAACATTCAACCTTCATTCAACCTTTTTCTAGACTAAATCAGAAGTTTGACAGTCTGTCATATTTTCAGAACCCATGCTGACACTATTTGGAAGGTTTCCATGATAATGCATTGCGTATCTGCTTGGCTTCAGCAATGATCTTGAATCCTACTTATATTCTGTGTGACACGTAGGATCTGTGTGAGATGTTTCAGTATTGTATTTTGCCTACTGTTTAGAAAATACTCTCAAAGCACCGTGCAATCTCGTGGTTAAATACTGACAGGTCTATATGTACTATAAGGAAGGCAGCGCTTTTAAAGCGATATTAGCAGATACCAAATAAAATATATTTTTTAACTACTTTCACAGCAGTTAAAACACTAAATGTGCTTACTCATATGGACCTTATGGGTAAGCATGTTTAGTGGGAAATGAGACAAGGCTTCTGTTATTTGATGCTTCATTATCCTGGTCTGATAAGCAGCAAGCAACATGTGTTTTTCTTCTTGACATTTAAAGTTAGGACTAGGCAAAGTCTGGGAGCCAAAGGGGGTGTCTGCAGTGTGCAATGTAAAAGCTGGTATCCCTTGCAGCAGCAGATTTCAAAATGTATTGCTAACAAGTTGAATGTCCAGGTTTATCATAATACTATATACATACAAACATATAACAAATCATGCAAAAACAATGCTCTTTCTTTTAAAATCTGAACATTTGATTTAAATATGGCACTCTAATAATAATGTTTATTTTAGGAAAATGTTCACCTGCATGCATTTACTAGAAAGACACTTATGCCATTTGCCAAAAGTTTTTACCAACCACATGACTGTGTAGCATATGCTCAAGTGATTTTGACACCTAAACCATGTATGAAGAAATTTCCTTCTAAAGCAAAACAGATTTAAAATTCATACTTTATTTTGAGCTGGAAAAGTTCACAGGTTTTAAATATAGCTTTTGGTAACATGATAGGAATAATTATTAAAGTAGTTGTGTATGAATGAAGTTCAGTTTGCATGCAAATGTTGGGTTTGAACCAAAGCAACAGTATTAGTTTTGCATGATAGTGTTGCCAAATAGCAACTGTCTGTCTTTTATTTCTGTTGTGCCACAACTGCAAGCACTCATCTAGTGATCAATTTAACCTCAGAACTGTCGCTGTTTTTAAACATATCTAGATGTGTTCATTTTCATAGTAGCCATTTTGTTATGCAAATTGTGTACAAAAATAAATACATTCCTAACTTACATTATAAACAAAAGTAGTGACAGATTAGCAACTGCAAACAAGAAAACAAGTTTGGTTTATTGTCCCCCAATATATTTTATATATTTTACATTTTGGATGCTTTGAAAACATTTTAGAGCTGCAATTCCTCAATTTTACCTCTGAGCGCCACTGTTTGACCAATAAGGAAAAGACTACGGAACAAGAGATCCACTGATGTATTCACCACTAACACACACTGCAGATCTGTAAGAAGAGACATAGCCATTTTCTGGAATCTCTCCCCACAGTACACAGGATGTTTTCTAATCTTTATAGAAAGTGAAGATATTTAAGTTTATTTCTCATGCCACACCGGATTCCGAATATTTACAGGGCATTTTGAGGAAAATCTGAAGAATTGATGAGATGAAGCTTCATTCAGCTAAATCCAATGGAATTGAATGGCAAGTAATATTTGCTTTCTTATTTTCCTGGTTGTGTTATTTAGTCTCTGGTCAGATTCATTATTCCATTGTAGAAGAAATGAGAAAAGACTCTGTTATAGCAAATATTGCTGATGATCTAAGATTAAAAATCAAACAACTGTCATCTAGAAAACTAAAAATTGTATCTCATGCTTCAGAGAAATATTTTTATGTGAATCTGGATAATGGAAATCTCTATGTAAAGGATAGGATAGACAGAGAGACATTGTGTGGCTCTGCAGCTACCTGCTTCCTAAACTTTGATGCTGTGATTGAAAACCCCATTAATGTGTTCAGTGTTAACATAAACATCCAGGATATTAATGACAATGCTCCATCATTTTACCATGATGTTTTTACAGTTGAAATAATGGAATCAACAGCAACTGGATCAAAGTTTGTTTTACAAAATGCAGAAGACCCAGACATTGGTATTAATTCAGTACAGACATACAAGCTCAGTGACAATAAACACTTCACACTCAGTGAAAATCTGAGAACAGATGGAATTTTATTTCTAGAACTTGTCTTACAGGAACCCTTAGATCGTGAAACAGAAAGTATTCAGAATTTAATATTAACAGCAGTAGATGGTGGAAACCCTGTCAGATCTGGAACTGTATTGATTAGGATCAATGTTACAGATACCAATGACAACTTTCCAGTATTTACACAAGAAGTATACAAAATCACTGTAAATGAAAATACTCACATAGACTCTACAATAATTACAGTAAACGCTACTGATAAAGATGGAGGTATAAATGGACAGACCACATACACTTTTAGCAAAACCTCTGGAAATATCCATCATACAGGACGTTTTAGTATCCATCCAACAAAGGGGGAAATTAAACTAAAGAAAAAAATGGATTATGAAGATGTGAAGAGTTTTGAACTGTCTATCCAGGCAAAGGATGGAGGTGGACTAACCTCTTATTGCAAAGTGTTGGTAGACATTATAGATGAAAATGACAATGCTCCTGTTATATCCATCACATCATTATCTCCTGCTGTTCCTGAAGATTCTGAACCTGGAACAGTGATAGCGCTAATAAAAATTTATGATCAAGATTCAGAAGAAAATGGAGAAGCTGACTGTCAAATTATTGAAAAAGTTCCTTTCAGCTTATTAAAATCATCTGACAATTACTACAGACTTGTCACAACTGACCCTATAGATAGGGAATATCAATTCTCTTATAATATAACAGTTGTAGCAACAGATAGAGGATCACCTCCACTTTCCAGTAGAAGAGTTATCACATTGGAAGTAACAGATGTAAATGATAATGCACCAACATTTATAAAGTCTTCTTATGTTGCTTATGTGCCAGAGAACAATTTACCAGGATCCTCAATTTATAGTATACATGCATTAGATATTGATGCTGGAGATAATGCTAAAATCACTTACTCAATTTTTTCCACAAACACAGATACTTCCACCTTCTCTTACTTATCCATTAACAGAGAGACTGGGGTCATCTATGCTCAGAAATCATTTGATTATGAACTGAACACCAAATTTATAATATTAGTTAATGCTAAAGACAATGGATCCCCTTTCCTGGAAAGCAATGCAACGCTGATCATCTGTATAGTGGATCAGAATGATAATGCACCTAAAATTGTACACCCATTTATAGAAACCAGTGGGCATCCTGGTTTAGAGATTGTTCCCTTTACCTCTGAAAAAGGCTCTTTAATAACAAAAGTGATAGCAGTGGATGCAGATTCTGGACACAATGCTTGGCTTTCATATTACTTCATTCAGTCATCTGAACCCTCCCACTTTATCATTAGTGAGCACACAGGGGAAATCAGGACTGTACATGTTTTTCAAGAGAATGATATACTGAATTACAAAATTGTGGTGATGGTAAAGGACAATGGAAACCCCTTTCTTTCAGCCACAGTCACTTTGAGTCTTGTCGTTGCAGATAATTTCCAACAGGTGGTTCCTAAACGGAGTAACCAACTGACTGATGAAGATTCACAATCTAATTTACAACTATACTTAGTCACCGCCTTAGCACTCATTTCCTTGTTATTTATAGTGACTGTAATACTGGTCATTATATCAAAATGCAAAGAGTCAAAACAACTTCCAGTTTTTGATCCAATTCATTCAGGTTTATATTCTCATGTTGACCCAAGGATGCTCTCTCAGTATTCAAATCAAACATTGGCACTTCCCTACTCATACAATGTATGTGTGGCTCTTGACTCTAGTGAGGGAGAGTTTACATATGTTCCACCAAATCAAAATGTTTCTGTTGATAATCTTATTGACGCTGATGACTCAGGACTTCGAAAATACAGTTTTAAAGAATCTTCACCAACCAGCAATGAATTGTTGGTAAGTACTCTGTGCTTTACACTATTATTTGGAGCCTGTATTTAAAATTAAAATACAACTTAACACATTTGTAAAATTTGCTGTTAAAGACGAATGATCTCTTTCTGTGCAGTGTGATACAGAAAAATACATTTTACTAATAAAGCAAAAGTGATGTGTAATGCCTTGCTGTGTTAGGTAGCTATTGTAAAAGCAGTAATCAGATGTTAACCCCTTTATGACTGAGGCCTTTTTTCTTAATTTTTTTGTTTACACATTATTATCCCCATTTTAGGCCTGAAAATTCCTTATTACCCCCAAAATTTTGTGGAAAATGCACTTAACTGCCCCAAAACACAATAAAATACCAATTTTTTAAAATATAAAAGATGAGGTTACATCGAGTAAATAGATTACCAAAATGCCCATGTTAAAAAATTGTGCACGTCCGGGAAACTGTGACAAGATTCAGTACCCCAAAAAGTCCACAGAGGATGCTTTAAAAGCCCCCACAGGTCATTAGTTTAGATATATGCATAAATATTGTCCCTAGAATTATTGCTCTCACTCCGGCGTGTGCTGTGATACCCAACATGTGTAGCGCATTCGTCGTTTTCATACGTAGGCCCACCTGACGCGTCTATAGATGAAGACGCATGTGCTTGTGGGGGCAGGGGAGTTTAAACAATTTTTTTTCACATTTAATTTATTTAATATTATTTGTAAATCTTTTTTTTTTACTTTACTTTAATTGCTATCACATAGGGGGACTTACACGCCCCCCATGTGATAGCATATTGGCAGTGACAGGTACTCTTTAAGGTGATACTGGGGGTCCAAAAGATCGCACCTCAATAGCTTATTGCTGGGCTTCAGCAATGAAAGCTATGGGACTGGAAGATATGCAATCTTAATTGCTTCTGGTGTCATAGTACGGGGGGAAGAGATTGGTGAACGAACACAGCTTCCCCCCGACACCCAGGACCCTGGTCCTGGGCCCGTAGGAGGGGCAGCAGAGCCTGGGAAACCCAACGGGGGTGTCAGGCAGGGGTGGCCTGTTTACTGGCCCGTAGAAGCAATCTGGTGACAACTGAGTCACCAGAATCGCTTCTATTGTAAAGCCGACAGTATGCTTTACATATGTAAACAGAGTCGCCGCCGGGAGTCTATTTAAACAGGCCCAATGCCAGTGACGTACACTCAACCCCCCAGTAAATCAACCCCACTGTGGGGTGGAAATTATTAGGTGCTAAGCACTGAATCACAAACCTATTTGTAAAACGATGGTATTGTTTTAAGGAACTCCTTTTGTTAAGGGGAATTTTTGAGAAATGTAACCATATTAGTATACTTTAAATTTGCTTTCCAGTTTTAAAAGGAAATGTGTGTTCTACTAAATGAGATGAGATTATACTTGTTTTTTGGTTAAGGGACAAATGTGGTCATCCAGTCTATGTGATAACTACGTTTTTGTTGTTGAATCGATGTGTGAGTTATGTCCATATAACCATGTCCATGAGTGATTATATGGAATATACAATTTATTATGTATATTTTTTTATAAATATTTCTGTGGAGAGCAATTATCATTACTGTTAACATATCTGTGATGGTCTCATTTAGTTAGGCCATGAAATAGCTGGTCACATTTACCTGGACTTGTTCTGCAATGTTGCAGATACTTCTTAGCATCTACAAATCACTTCTCCAGTTCCAATGAGTGTGAAAGTTGTGGGACTGCCCTGTTTTCATTGCATAATCCCATACCTGGTGTTAGGAAGTCTGAATAGGTGTTAATTCCTTTGTTTACATGACTAAAGGTGTGAAATGTTTTCAGATATTAAAATGTGTGACAGTTTAGAAAATTTCTTAAAATTTAAAACAGATTTATAGTGTAAACTGCTTTGTCAAAATGTATATATGATACTTACTGTACTTCCACTTTCAGTTTTGGAATTACATACTGTATAATGCCCTTTACAAATGACTATCAGTTACCTTTGACATATCAGTATAAAATGTACATTTAAATACACAATTCTTAATCACTTGCTGTCCAAAGCAATGTCTTACTATTTTCATACAAATGATAAAATCTACATGGCTACAAAACAGCCTAAAACCCCCAGCAATTATATATTTTCTGAAAGCAGAGGCCCTGTAGAATAAAAACATTTTAGTTGCAATTTTTATGTTGCACAGTATTTGCACAAATGTTTATCAAACAAGTATGTTTAGGATAAAATACACTAAAATGAAATTTAGTGTACAGAAACAGAATATAACACCCGATTTTTTTGGTAAAATATAAAATATGGGGTCACGTTGGGTAAATAGATAGATATATAGATAGATAGATAGATAGATAGATAGATAGATAGATAGATAGATAGATAGATAGATAGATAGATAGATAGATAGATAGATAGACAAACATGTCAAGGCTTACAATTCGTGAAACCACAAAAAATCTACAATACCCCAAATTTCCTTAGGCAATGCTCAGCTTTTACTGCTCATCAGTTTAGTGTTAACAGTGATTGATGGCCCTAGAATTATTACTCTCAGTCCAACATTTTAGGTGATATGTAACATGAGTGGCGCAATTTTCATTTTTGCATTTAGGCTCATCCCACTCGTTTTTGCATTGTATGTACATGCACATGGGGTGGGGGACTTTAAAAAACATTTTTGCATTTTTTTGGTAACTTTAGGTTTGTTTTTTTTTACATTCAACTTTATTGCTATCACATAGGGGGATAATAGTCCCCCTATATAATAGCAAATAGAATGTGGCAGGTCCTCTTTATGGAGACATCAGGTGTCTTTCACTAATGTCACACTAGGGACCCCAAAGAAGGGACCCCAGAAGAAGTGTCACTATTGTGATACTAATGTCACCTAGGGACCCCAAAGAACCTGATGAAGCAGATATCTGCTTTACCAGCTTCTATTCCTGGCTCTAAGAGCCAGAGAATGTGCCCATTGACACCAGAAGTGATGTAATACACATCATTTCCGGGTCCAGTGATCGAAGGAGAGATCAGTGGCTAGAAGCTTGCTGATCTTCCTCTAATCTGTCAAGGGAGACCCACCGTGCCGCTGCCGGGCCCGCACGTGTAACAGTGGATCCTGGCAAAGCCGGTGGCAGCGCCGACGGATGGGGACACACAGCGCCGCACAGTCAAATGATCAGGCACCTGTACAGATGCTGAATTGCTTGCACATAAACAGCAATCACCTGCTGTTTAAAAAATACCAAGAACATGGCTGCAGCAGCCATGTTCTTGGTATAACCACTACAAGTGGATGACGTGTATTTACGTGAACCCGCCTGAAGTGGTTGAAATTAAAGAATATTCCATTATGTAGATCTGTTTTCTTCATATAATTGTCTGTTAAGTGCAAAATAGATTGTGTGCTTTACTTGTGATCTTTAACAGTATTCACATAGACAACTTGTTTTCTATGCACCCTTGTGTTGAGCCTGCATTGATATATATAGGTCAACACAGGTCAATGGACATGGTGTGAACAAGCCCGTAAACACCAAGCTTTCTGCATCAACCAATGAATAACACAGGGCAATATCCTACAACTGTAATTGTTTTGTGAAAGATAGTTGGCTACCCTATAAAACAGTAAAGCAAGAAATGGAAGAAATGGCAAGACTGAATGGTAATGTGATGAATAAATGGAAAGTAACTGTTACCCAAATTCCTTTTTTAAGTTAAGATCTGCTATATGAGCATTTACACTTACAGGTATAAGGTTCTAAGAATTCAATAATGAGATTTTCAAGCTCAACACAATAACAGGAATTTATTGGTATATAGTATGCAGACTTGAATACAATGAACCACCAATCTATTTAACTACAAACATAAAGAAGAGATCTAAGCATGCATAGAAATATTAATAAAAGCACAGACCATGGTACATACATACAAGACAAATACACAACATATATAAGTGCACAGACATATCCGGATAATTACCAGGAGATGTTCAAGTAGGGCCCTCTGGTCATCACAAAAAGAAAGAGAGCGAGAGCATCTTCCCTTATTTGTTAATATACCCACTGTGTCCATAGAGATGCATTGCGAGCCCTCGATTGGTTACCTCCCACTGCTTAATAGGGATTGGAGGCTTGTCAATACCCTATGTTACCTCTCCCAACCCCTTTCTATGATTGGCCAGGGACAAAAGAGAGTATGTACCTATTGTTAGGCTCAAGGGTCTCGGCTCCGAAAAGACCAGCCATACTCTATGCAATTACCCGGATATGCCTGGGCTTAACAATAACCCCATTTACCATTCATTAGTATGCAACTTCACTAGAGAGTGCTAACCCACAACAAAGACTATATTTAATTCCAAACACCCATCACCTAATGTGGAATATTTAAAAATAAAACTATATACATATGTCTTATGACGATTTGACATAAACTTTGTATGGTAACATAACGCAATAGAGAAAGTATATTAATGTGTGGAAAAAAAGGGTGATGTAAAACATGTGACCCCATTGTCTTCTTTATTTATGTTGATAATAGTGGTTACAACTTCAGTTTTAAAAAAAATATTAATTTTTAGTACTAGGTTGGCTTAAAATTGTAAAAGAAACTTGAGGTTTTATTATTCTAGTGTATTCTGATGCACAGAAATTTGTAAAAATGTAAAAGAGTGACAGGTAAAGAATGCAGGCATCTATATATACTGTATATATATATATTTTTTTATTTTTTGGTACATAGTTATTGGTAGACTGTGTTAAAATGTTTCCTCACTGTATGCTGCAAACGTATACAGTATGCTTTAACAGACATTTAACTTTATGGGATGTAAAACAAAATTCAAAGAAATATTTACCAATTTACCAATAAAGGTTTTATATTCTGTTTTTCCAACATGGAACATTGTGATTTTTTTATGCATCATAAAATATATAGTTTATTATACTTTATTATAATTTAGAAAGATTTTTTGATAACATTTAAAGTTAATGCTTTGATAAAATTCCTTAAAATTGCAGTTCCCTAGTATTAACTCAGAGCGCCGCTGTTTGACCAATAAGGAAAGGTATACAGAACTGGAGATCCACTGTTATTTTTCTCACTTACATACACTATATACTACAGATCTGTGAGAAGAGACATAGCCATTTTCTGGATTCTCTCTACACAGCAAACAAAACTGCTGCTTTCTGTACAACTCAGTACATCCTTCTTAATTTACTGGAATACAAATTCAACAAGGATTACAGAAAATGAAAAGGACTGAAATAAAAAAACAGATACAGACATACAAAGGATTCAGATGGCAAGTAATATTTTCCTTCCTAATTTCCTGTCTCTGTCATTCAGTCTCAGGTCAGATTCATTATTCCATTGTAGAAGAAATGAGAAAAGACTCTTTTATAGCAAATATTGCAGATGATCTGGAATTAGATATCAATTCACTCTCATCTAGAAAAATGAGAATTGGATCACGTGTAGCAGATAAATATTTTTATGTGAATGGTGATAATGGCAATCTGTATGTTAAGGACAGGATAGATAGAGAGACTTTGTGTGAGGCAGAAGCTACCTGCTTCCTAACCTTTGATGTTGTGGTTCAAAATCCCTTAAATATTTTTAGAGTCACAATAGACATTCAGGATATAAATGATAATCCTCCAGTTTTTTATCTTGACTCATTTACATTTGAAGCAATTGAATCAATACCACCAGGGACAACCTTTGCTTTACAAAATGCAAAAGATCCAGATTTTGGTATTAATTCAGTCCAGATATATAAGCTTAGTGACAACAAACATTTTGCACTGAGTGAGAAAATCAATTCAGATGGAAGTACATTTCTTGAGCTTGTGCTAGAAAAACCTTTAGATCGAGAATATCAAAATGTGCATGAATTTTTATTATCAGCTACTGATGGAGGAAAACCTATGAGATCTGCCACTGCATTGGTGAAGATCATTGTCACAGATGCTAATGATAATTTTCCAGTATTTACACAGACAGTGTATAAAGCCAGCACAAGTGAAAATATGCCAATTAATACTTCAATAATTACAGTGACTGCTAGTGACAAAGATGAAGGAATAAATGCACAAATAAACTATTCTTTCATTGAAACATCAGGGAGTGTACACCATACAGGAACTTTCTGCATTAATCCAAAGACTGGTGACATCAAAATATATAAGAAGCTAGATTTTGAATTGACAAAACATTATGAACTTTCAGTACAAGCAAAAGATGGAGGTGCCCTTACAGCTCATTGTAAAGTTTTGATAGACATCATAGATGAAAATGATAATGCTCCTGAGATATCCATCACTTCACTCTTTTCTCCTGTCTCAGAAGATTCTACACCTGGAACAGTAATAGCTGTAATTGAAGTTGAAGATCAAGATTCTGGAGAAAATAGATACATTGATTGCAAGCTAATGAAACAACCTTTATTTAGCTTAGTTATGTCATCTGATAATTATTATAGAATTGTTACAACAGGTGAACTAGATAGAGAGAAAGTATCCAGTTATGATATCACAATTGTAGCTACTGACAGGGGATCTTCTCCACTTTCGAGCAGAAAAACCATCAGACTAAACATATCCGATGTTAATGACAATCCACCAGTATTTATGACATCTTCTTTTATTGTTAACATACTAGAGAACAATTTACAAGGTGTCTCAGTATACAATATCCAAGCTTCTGATCCTGATGCTGCAGAAAATGCCAAAATTACTTATTCGATATGCAACATTGATGCAGAACATTTCACCGCGTCTTATATTTCTATCAATATGGAGACTGGAGTGCTTTATGCTCAGAAAACTTTTGATTTTGAGCAACACAAGGATTTTTTAATAGAAGTAATTGCTACAGACAATGGATCACCATCTCTGAGTACCAACACAACATTACTTATCAATATAGTGGATCAGAATGATAATGCACCAAGAATCCTGTTTCCATCCCCAGGAAGTGGTGGGCATGATCCATTTGAAATGGTTCCTTTCACAGCTGAACCTGGTTCTTTAATAACAAAGGTGGTTGCAGTGGATGAAGACTCGGGACATAATGCATGGCTTTCCTATCATTTTATGCAACTGTCAGAATCATCAGTTTTTGTTATTAATAAAAATACAGGAGAAATTAGGACATCACATATCTTTCAGGAGAAGGATATGCTGAATCAGAAGGTTGTGGTGATGGTTAGAGATAATGGGATTCCACCTCTCTCAGCCACAGTCACCTTAAGCCTCATTGTTGCAGATAGCTTTCAGCAGATTGTTCCAAAACTCAGCAATCAGCTTACCAATGATGATCATCAGTCACACTTGCAATGGTACTTGGTAGTTTCTTTAGCATTAATCTCTTTCTTGTTTATTATAACTGTTATATTGGTTATTGTATCAAAATGCAAAGAGCCAAAACCATTACCAAACTTTGGAACTTTAACTTCAAGTCTGTATCCTCCAGCTGATCCCAGGATACTATCTATGTATAGTGAGGGAACTTTGCCCTTACCCTACTCATACAATGTTTGTGTGGCCTTGGACCCATCTGAGAGTGACTTTGGTCTTGTAAATTCAAATCAAAATATACCTGTGGATAATCTCATTGACACAGATTATTCAGGTCTGGAAAATGAGAGTTTTAAAGAAATACTTCCATCTACTGGAGTTAGGTAAGTAATAGCCACAATCAATGATGTCTCCTTGGGTGTCTTTGACTCTGTGTTCAGAAAAATCATTATACCAATAACTTGTTTTATGAATATATCCCTTAGTTTAGGGTTACTTTCAATAAGTCATTACATTAGTGGTCCCTAAGACGTTACCAGTATACTGTAATAAAACACATTTGCAAGATTTTCATAGATTTAGAAAGAAACCAAATTTTTTTATGTTTGTGACTATTCAGTTATGCTTTTATTATTTACCTTTCACTTTTTTCAAAATGTACAATGTATGACAAGCAGTTTATACCAGAATCATATATTAACCACTGATGTATGAAGGTAGAATGTAAAAGTTTAGGACATTCCTTAACACTATAAAATATTTTGAAATAGGTGCACATGTTTAGCTGTTTGTCTCATTTCTCTGAGCAAAATTAACAGTTTGATATATTCTTCTAGTAGAATGCATGTAATACCTCATGTACAGCTGCCTCATATAGTTTTGGAATTACTTTTGTAATATGTATAATAGGTATAATTTGGACATGTAAAGTGTACAGCTAGTGCCAAATTGTTATTTTATCTAATTGTCTGTTAAGTGCCATAACAATCCCCATATTTAGTAGACACCATGAGCATTGTCCTTAACCAGACAGGCAGAGACCTATAGGTTTTTTCAAGATCCACCACTGATCCACCATTCTTTGGTTGCTGTTCTCCTTCTTATTAAAATGCTTCCATTTTTTTAAATTGAGTCTCCTCAGTCCCCCTCACCCCACCCCACTATCTTCTTGGCTGGTGAAATACATATGTGTAGACCCCCCTCCCACAAGGTTTATTTAAGCCTGTATACCCTTGGGCATTGATTAGCTTGAAGGGGTGATAAAAATCTTCACCGTACTCAGAGCACCAGTGCCTGATAAACCCACATTTCAGTGTCGAATAAGTGGAATAAGTTCCACTTATAGTAATGGATTGTGTACAAATGATTAGTAACTTATTTTTCAGAAATTGATGAATATTTGACCATATATTTGCAAGTAAAGTATAGCATATCACATATATAATAAACATGATTGCAGTTACTTATATAATATGTAATCTCCTTTACTTTGTAAACTGCACTGTGATTACAGTGTAATACATTACAATGTGTGCTAATGATACAGTAAAGGTTTAAAAATCATATATTGACTTTAGTTATTCCCCCCCTTCTGCACTTTCTTATATAATCATGTTTTAACTGTCCAACCAAAGAATAAGAACCTTCAATGCACTACAAAATAAAATAGTTACACAAGGGATGGCAGAGCTGAATTGCAATGTATGATGTAATGAATTAATAGAAAATATCTTAGTTTCTAACAGCACAGACAAGACAACAAGAGTCATGTCAAACACATGGGGGGTGATTTACTAACCTAAACACACGCACGCACTAGGTGTGTGTGATTTTTCACAGCAAAACTTATTTATCAACCAAAAAGTCTCTAAAACCATATTTCCACTAATGCCATATATGGAAAAATCATGCACATGATACATATATAATGGTGCTTCACAGTTTAGACAAAAATGGTTAGCTCATGCATTTACATTCCTGCATTCATCAACGCAAGCAACACAACGTAGAGCTAATTTACACAACATCACCTTGCAGTTCATGCAGGGCTTTGCACAACACACCTGCTGGGTGTGTACACACTATAAAGGTGTCTAGATTCCACCAATAGATAATACTGGGAGGGAACACACTACAGAGGTGTATACTTGTTTGTGGCATGTTTATAAGGTTAGTAAATCAACCCCATGGCCTCATTTACATGCAGATTTATTTTGATCATATTGGTTGTCACTTGAGTGTTTAACAAAAAATAGTACTAGTGAAGCTTAGCATTCAAAAGACAGACATAATTGTTTTTATCATGGTAATGTAGTATGATATTTGGAGAGTTACTTTAGTTCATGGTCAAAAGCATGTTGTAGATTGAATGCTTCTTGCTCACCAGGAATTAGGGATGTACCAATACCCATTTTTTTCGGTACTCGCCAATATCGATCACCAATACCGGAAGTCCCATTAAGGAAGCCGGGCAGAGTGTAATGACTCGTCGCCCAGCTTCCTGATAAGCTAGGTGACGAGGAAGCATGGAGCCGGCTTTCTAGCCAATCAGGAAGCCGGGATGGGTAATGACTCACCACCTGGCTTCCTGATTGGCCAGCTTCCAGATAAAGCAGGAACCCATTACACGCTGTAGGGAAACAAAAATTGAAGACGGAAGCGCCACTACCTGGCGCAATAAATGTGGTAGAGTATGGTGTAAGCGTTGGTGATGTACTCACCTAAGGCTGGGTGAGCATTCGCTTGTAATCGTCGGATTGCGGTGAAGCGGATGGAGTGGAGTAGTGGTGGGAGTGGTCCCTCTTTTCCAGGGTGGCGTAGCGATTAAACCCAATAAGGCTGGTGGAGACACAAAAGCGAGGGGGTGAGGTATGCAGTGGTGGGTGAAGAAGAGGTGGGCTTCTGTAACTCACCGTGGGGATACTGAAGGGCGACTCTCAGCGATGACGGTGCGGCCAGAGTTGTGCCTGGGCGGTGGGCCGTGGGGTGGTCCTCAGGACGGTTGCTGGCACAGGTGTCCTCTGATGGCAGGTGCTGTGAAGAGGTGGAACGACGTGGTGTCCAGGATGGGGGGATGGAGAGCGATGGAGGCGCCGGAGTGACAGAGTGTTTAGCCGCCGTGGCTTTCTGACAGTCTGACGGAGCTGTAACCTGCAGGCGTTTGCTGGGGAAGCCTGTAGTGCGGGTGTTGCGGCGCGAGCCACGGGCGGTGTCTGTAGATGTGTGGAGTGTAGGAGACACTCAGAAGATCAGTGAAGACCGGGCTGACGGCGACGCGTTTCGAAGGTGAAACCTTCTTTTTCAAGCCGAAGTGAAGGAATGACGCTGGCGGGAAGCTGAGGTTTTGAACCCAGGGGTGAGGGAGTGGTCGGAGGCTGTGGGTGGAGTTGAGAGGGTGTGATTGGGCCATGAGGAAGTGCGGATCCACAAAAACAGCACCACACCTCCCGGCCGCCCCATAATATCCAGTATTGAAAGCCTCACCAGTGGCCTTTCCCGCTATGTGGACAGCTTCTTACAACCTATCGTTACCACACTACCGTCCTACCTTAGAGACTCTGGGCATCTCATCGAAGCTTTACGCCCTTACTCCTGGGAACCCTCATACCATTGGGTCTCCCTCGACATTTGCTCACGCTATACTTCCATCCCTCATGAAGTAGGCCTACAAGCGCTACAACCTTATCTATCCCAACAAACAGATGTCCACTATAAGCAGGCACAATTCATCCTCAATTCCACCAAGTTCACCCTTGAGCATAACTACTTTACCTTCCTAGATAATTTTTACCTCCAGATCCAAGGCACAGCCATGGGAGCCAACTACGCCCCAAGCTATGCAAACCTGACCATGGGACTCTGGGAGGAATTCCACATTTGGCACCTCATCTTTTTTGGCCGTTACATAAATTACATTCTCATAATCTGGGATGGCCCACCGGACACTATCCAGGACTTCGTGGCACACTGTAACACCAACCCCTCGGGTCTAAGTTTCACCCATGTCACCGACCAGCGCAGCTTGGTCTTCCTAGACCTAGAACTCACACACTCCGAAGGTAAAATCATCACCAAAACACACTTCAAACCTACTGCTGGCAACTCATATCTCCACTTCAAGAGTTGCCACCACCCCCTCTGGAAGCGCAATGTCCCCAAAGGCCAATTTTGCAGGATCAGCAAGAATTGCACCAATAAAGAGGATTATGTACAACAAAGCCACATCCTGAAAAGCAAATTTCTCGAAAAAGGCTACCCAAAACACCTCATTACCAAAGCCCAGGATCAGTTCATTAAAATGGTCCCCAAACCATCACCTAAGAAACCGGTCGAGGAACACCCCAAAAAACAGCCCGCTTCATTACCCCATTCAATAACAGTTACAAGGCCATTGAAGCCATCCTCCGTAAAAATTGGCACCTATTACTATGCGACCCTCAACTGGGACCACTACTCCCACCCAAACCTTCCGTCATTTTTAAAAAAGCCCGCAGCATTAAAAATATAGTGGCCCATAGCAAAGTTTGCTCCCTCCAACCTAAACTCAGACAGACACTACTGTTCGACAACAGGACAGGGGTCCACAAATGTAAGAAACGTCTATGCCTCACGTGCCAATTCATCACCCATGGCCAATCACACTTCCACGACAACTTAGGGAACAAGTTCACAATCACTCAATTCATCACCTGTGCCCACGACCACGTCATCTACGGCCTACAATGCCCTTGCAACTTACTCTACATAGGCCGCTCCATCCGCCCCCTCCGCAAGCGAATTGGGGAACACAGGAGGTTCATCGAAGATGGTTCGACCGAACATAGTGTCCCACGCCACTTTCTCCTTAAACACCAGAAAAAACACAACCCACCTGAGAGTGTTTGCAATTGAACAAATACCGGACAAACTACCACCTGCCGAAAGATTCCACCGCCTCTGCAAGCAAGAAACATACTGGATCTTCAAATTGAACATGCTGTCCCCCCATGGTTTGAACGAGGAATTAGAATTGAACACCATCATCTAAATTCCACCCTCTCTTTCACCATCATACAACGTTCTCCTCCCCCCCCTTGTTTTTCTGGTTCACCAACTCTAAAACACGTTCCACACCTTTGTCTTTCGTCCCTTGCAACTAGCACACAGATTTAATGCAATTCAATTTATTCAATTCATTGAATCATTCTTTCATCATTTGACGATGTCCACCCATTCTCGTTATATATGTCACCATATACCCGATCTTCCACTTCACATCTTCAACCCTTACTTGGGCATTCGATAACAACACCACCTATTCCTCAGTGTTGTGTGTTTTTTACATTGTGTTTTACATTGCTTGCCTCTCCGAAACTCCCCCCTCTCTTTTTTCCACACGGCCTAGGTGTTTTCTCACTACATCAAGCCGCGCCTTCACCACGCCCACCCACCCACTTCCTCATGGCCCAATCACACCCTCTCAACTCCACCCACAGCCTCCGACCACTCCCTCACCCCTGGGTTCAAAACCTCAGCTTCCCGCCAGCGTCATTCCTTCACTTCGGCTTGAAAAAGAAGGTTTCACCTTCGAACCCCATCGCCGTCAGCCCGGTCTTCACTGATCTTCTGAGTGTGTCCTACACTCCACCCATCTACAGACACCGCCCGCGGCTCGCGCCGCAACACCCGCACTACAGGCTTCCCCAGCAAACGCCTGCAGGTCACAGCTCCGTCAGACTGTCAGAAAGCCACGGCTGCTGAACACTCTGTCACTCCGGCGCCTCCATCGCTCTCCAGTCCCCCCATCCTGGACACCACGTCGCTCCACCTCTTCACAGCACCTGCCATCAGAGGACACCTGTGCCAGCAACCGTCCTGAGGACCACCCCACGGCCCACCGCCCAGGCACAACTCTGGCCGCACCGTCATCGCTGAGAGTCGCCCTTCAGTATCCCCACGGTGAGTTACAGAAGCCCACCTCTTCTTCACCCACCACTGCATACCTCACCCCCTCGCTTTTGTGTCTCCACCTGCCTTATTGGGTTTAATCGCTACGCCACCCTGGAAAAGAGGGACCACTCCCACCACTACTCCACTCCATCCGCTTCACCGCAATCCGACGATTACAAGCGAATGCTCACCCAGCCTTAGGTGAGTACATCACCGACGCTTACACCCTGCTCTACCACATTTATTGTGCCAGGTAGTGGCGCTTCCGTCTCCAATTTTTGTTTCCCTACAGCACACTTGTTGGACACTCCGGTCCAGTCAGAACAGAAGCCGCACACCCGCGCAACTACCCCCTTTCCCCCCCCTTTCATCTACACCTACCACACCACAAGTGATAACCGGTGTACCCACCAAGTACTGCCTCTCCCCCCCGAATTTTCCACCCTACCTTTGACAAGCGCCACACATGGGGTAAACTCTCTCAATTTACCCATTACACGCTGCCTGGCTTCCTGATTGGCTGGGAAGTTGACTCCATGCTCTCCCTTCACCAAGTGATGAGGGAACAAACAGCCAGCTTCCAGGCCAATCAGGAAGCTAGGGGGTTAGTCATTAACTGCCCCCAGCTTCCTGATTGGCCAGGAAGCCGGCTGCATGTTCCCCGTTGATAAGGGAGCATGGAGCCAGCTTCCCGGCCAATCAGGAAGCCTGGTGGCATATTATGACTCACTGCCAGGCTTCCTGATACCAGAAGTTCCAGTATCGGAATAAGCATCGGGAGTATTTGGTACTCACCCGATTACTTGTTATCGGCACCAATACCAATACTGGTATCGGTGCATCCCTACCAGGAATCTTTTTCCTGTGGCAGCAGGCAGAGGAAAAGTCTGGGTCTAGCCAGGATGGCGGAGTAGTATGCCCTAAATTCAGATGTTATACTGAGGTTGTCCTCTAGGGGCAAGTGTTGAGAGGGCTGGAGACTTGAAGGTAATAAGCACGGCTAAAGCAAGCTGGCTCATTAGGGCCCCTACAAGATTTCCCAGCCTCCTAAGAAATCAGCTCCACCCAGGAACCAGTCTGTATGTCTGGCAGACTGGGGAGCAGATCACCTGTGTGGTGAAAAGCAGCCTGTGTTGCAAAAGACTGGCCTGGGTGGCAAGGGGATAAGAAACAGCCTGTGTGGCAAGCAGTTTGGATACAGCCAGTGTGGGAAAGGCTTTTGATAAAGAAAACATAATTGATAGAGCGCACTCTTGTGGGAAGGACACGCTTCCAAATTATGGCTGCTATAGGATGGTGTGCAATGCTCCTCACTGCAGGGAGATGACCCTGTGTATCATAACCACAAAATAAAAACAAAAAACTGAGGAGCGCAACTACCAGGATGTGTGCTGATAAACTTAATCTGGCTGACAATGGTTGGACGTATTTATCTAAGAACAATAGGTATAACAATAAGTATAAGTGTCCAGTTGGAGTGCTGGCAGCATGGTAGTGTGAAAAATGACTTGTAGTCAGTGACTTACAGTTGGGATGTAGGCAGACGTGCCTAGTGGTTTCCCGCCCGGTTCCGTCCAAGGTCTTAATGGTCTGGTCCTTTTCGCAATTGGTGGAGGGTGGGTTGCTGTCAGACCGGAGTTGAAACTAGATTTGTCAGCCGGACTCACATACTCGACTGGCCAGGCTCGAGGCCAGTCAAGTATGTGGATAAAATATTTTAAGATCTGCTTCATCAGCTTCTTCTCTCTGGCTAAAGCAGCCAGATGACTGACAGATGAATGTGGAAGTGATGTAATACACATCACTTCTGCATTCGCAACCTGCTGATGCGAGTCAGCCGTCCGTCCGTTTTTTTTCTACGGACGGACGGCAACTGGTTAAAGAAAGAAATAATTATGTACAATATATTTTAATTTTTATTTACCAGTATTTTAGAGTTTTAAATTATCTGTTAAATAAAGTATTATGCTTGATAAAGCTGTAAATTAGGAAGATTTTGATAGCTTTAGAACTACATGCTTTTATAAAATGTCTTAGAATTGCAGTTCCCTAGTCTTACCTCACAGCGCCTCTGTTTGACCAATAAGGAGAAGAATACAAAGCTGGGGATCCACTGGTATTTTACTCATTCAATTACACTTTGTGCAGATCTGCAAGAAGAGACACAGCCTATTTCTGCATTCCCTCTACACAGTGTATGGGGCTGCTGTATTGAACAATTCTGGTATTGAACAATTCAGTGCATTCTTCAGATTTACTGGATTATTATAAATTCTACAAGGATTACAGGTGCTGAAAATTACTGGAATGAAAAATTATACACGGATATTTAAAGGATTTAAATGGCAAGTAACATGTTCCTTTCTTATTTGCCTGGCTGTGTCATTCAGTCTCTGGTCAGATTAATTATTCCGTTGTAGAAAAAAATGAGAAAAGACTCTGTTATAGCAAATATTGCAGATGAACTTGGATTAGATATTGCTCAGTTCTCATCTAGAAAACTGAGACTTGTATCACGTGTTTCAGATAAATATTTTTATGTTAATTTAGACAATGGAAATATGTATTTAAAGGACAGGATAGACAGAGAGACACTGTATGGGGCAGAGGCTACCTGCTTCCTAACCTTTGATGCTGTGGTTGAACATATGACATGTTCAACATAGGACATATATGATAATCCTCTAATGCAAAAGATCCAGATTTTGGTATTAATTCTGTACAGACATATAAGCTCAGTGACAACAAGCATTTTGTGAGAAAATCAAATCAGATGGAAGAAAAATTCTTGAACTTGTGCTAGAAAACCCATTAGATCGAGAATCTCAAAATGTGCATGAATTTTCATTAACAGCTACTAATGGAGGAGAACCTATGAGATCTGGCTCTGCATTGATAAGATTTATTGTCACAGATGTTAATGATAATTTTCCAGTATTTACACACGATGTATATAAAATCAGTGTAAATGAAAGTGTGCCAATTAATACTACAATAATTACTGTGAATGCTACTGACTAAGATGAAGGTATATATTCACAAATAAACTATTCTTTCATCGAAACATCAGGACACCATACAGGAACTTTCACCATTAACCCAAAGACAGGTGAAATCAAAATAAATAAGAAGCTAGATTTTGAATTAAAAAAAACATTATGAACTTTCAGTACAAGCAAAAGATGGTGGTGCCCTTGCAGCCCATTCTAAAGTGTTAATAGAAGTCATAGATAAAAATGATAATGCTCCTGAGATATCCATCACTTCACTCTTTTCTCCTGTCCCAGAAGATTCCATACCAGGAACAGTAACAGCTCTAATTGAAGTTGACGATCATGATTCTGGAGAAAATCGAAACATTGATTGCAAACTAATAGAACAGCATTTATTCAATTTGCTATTTTCATCTGATAGTTATTATAGAATTGTTACAATAGATGACATGGACAGAGAAAGGGCATCCAGTCATAATATCACAGTTGTGGCTACTGACAAAGGATCTCCCCCACTTTCCAACAGAAGGACCATCAAACTGGATATATCAGATGTTAATGATAATCCACCAGTATTTATTAAATATACTTATGCTGTGTATATACCACAAAACTATTTTCCAGGTGTCTCAATATATAGTGTACAAGCTTCTCATCATGATGCTGGAGACAATGCTAAACTTATTTATTCAATATTCAGTATTAATGCAGAAGATTTCCCAATGTCCTCTTATCTTTCCAGCAATATGGAGACTGGAGCACTTTATGCTCAGAAATCTTTTGATTTTGAGCAACACAAAGAGTTTTTAGTACAAGTAATTGCTACAGACAAAGGATCACCATCTCTGAGTAGCTACACAACTTTAGTTATCCCTATTGTGGATGTGAATGATAATGCCCCAAAAATCTTATTCCCATCAGCACAAATTGATGAGCAGGATCCATTTGAGATGGTTGTTTTCACAGCTGAGCCTGGTTCTTTAATAACAAAGGTGGTTGCAGTGGATGAAGACTCAGGACATAACGCTTGGCTTTCCTATCATTTCATACATATTTGAGAATAATCACTCTTTGTCATTAATGAACATTCAGGTGAAATCAGGACATCACCCATTTTACAGGAGAAAGGTATAATGAATCAGAAGGTTGGGGTAATAGTAACAAATAAAGGCAATCCACCCCTCTCAGCCACAGTCACAGTAAGCCTCATTGTTGCAGAAAATTTCAAGCAGATCATTCCTAAACTCAATAACCAGTTTACTGATGAAGATTCTCAGCCACACTTCCAGTTGTACTTGGTGATTGCTTTAGCATTGATCTCTTTGTTGATTATTATAACGGTTATGTTGGTTATCATGTCAAAATGCAAAGGGTCAAAACCATTACCAAACTTTGGAACTTTAACTACAAGCCTGTATCCTCCAGCTGTTCCCAGGATACTTTCCATGTATAGTGATGGAACTTTACCCTTGCCTTACTCATACAATGTATATGTGGCTTTGGACCCATCTGAGAGTGATATTAATCTTATAAATTCAAATCATATTGTCTCAGTGGATAACCTGATTGACACAGATGATTCAGGTCTTGGAAATGAGAGCTTAAATGAAGCACTTTCAGCCACTGGAGTCACTCAGGTAAGTTGCTGTAAAATCTATAACAGTTATGCCTTTGTGTGTCTTTTACTATGGCTTTACAAAGTTTTTCACCAACTGCATTTTGTTATTACATTTGCTGTATGTCAGTTAGGCTAGGATCTTTGAAGCAACGGCATTTATCATGATACATAAAAGAAGCCTGTGTCTAGGTCATAATTCAGCTATGTTGTTCTAGATTGTTCACCTCTCCTGCCTTCTCCAAACTCGTCACCCTTTTGTGAATAACCCTGTTAGTTGTCCACTCACCAATAATGTCTGTCATACAAACATAAGCTTAAGTAAAACACACTTGAGAACTCTCTTCTACCAGACAAATTGTAAGAACTTTTGAAGCTGCACAATATTTTTATTTCTTTATGTGTACTGGCTTGTTGAAAAATATTCACCCAACATATAAAGTATTTGAGATAGAAGAAGTTATGGCAGAGTTTAATTGTAATTGGTGGTGTAGTGAATAAACGGAAATAATCTTCATTGGAGAAAGTTCCTAATAACACATAGGTTAACCAATATTAACAAATATGTGTACAATGAGAGAGGTGCCAAATGTCTAGGACTCATTTACTTTATATCCAAGTTGTTAACTATAAATTCAGTGACTTGTTTATTTTTATGAAAAAACAAATGTTGTACTATTGAAGCTTAACCTTATTTGCCATCACATCAATCCTTAAATCATTTCGTTTTGGTAATGTTTCATGATTATGAAGCTATCTAAATAACTTGTGGTCTTAATGACCACCACAAGCTTGCTTCACATTCTCATACAACTCATAATATAATGTTTGGGCTTCTCTTCTCTCTCTACAGTATGTTAGGGAGGGGCATTCCCTTATGGGGTGTGGCTGGCTTTCATAAGCTAGGGTTTAGGGATACTCAGGGTGTGCAGGAAGAACACTGGCATTTAACAGAGTAATGTGCAAACATATTGTGGTGTCTGCTATTAGGGGCATATGTAAATAAACAGATTTGACATAGTGACATGTTTACTTCAATGTATTGGTTTTCAGGAACATATGTCAAGATATATTGAGTTTGTATTATAGTTTGTGATTTTTTTTACTTGTACTTACTATTAAATATAAACAGTTTCTGCTTCATCAGCTTTGACAGCAGAATGCGTAAGTGATGTAATATACATCACTTCCGAATTCTGACACCGGAGAGGGGATCGGAGGGAGTTCGTGTACAGACTCCCACTGATCACCTGTCAAATACTGCAGACAATGAGATCTGATTCCAAGAAAATGTCACATCCACGGGGTCCACTGGCATGGGGGTGTGTCCACATTTTCTTTCCAACTTTGGAAGCAGGATTAGTCATAATTTCTATAAGTTTATCCCCTTATACTTTAGTACTGTTTGCTAAATTTGGGTGAGTCTCTCTCCAGTGGTTACCAGTGATAATGCCAGGAACTGTGATTGGATTACTAACGCAAAGTAATTGTGCCTGGTTTAGCTAACCTGTAAAGACTAGTGAGAGCAGTGTGTGGTCTGTGAAGCCTGTGTGCATGTCTGCTTGAGCGCAGAGTGTATGGACTAGGAGTGTCTGGGAAAAGGTTTGCCACAGGCCTGCTAGTTGTGTGTGGGGGCAGATTAGATTGGTTAATGTGGGTATGTGTGTTGTGTTTTATGGCTGCTACAATCACATCTGCAGACTGGGAGGGGGTTCTCATGATGATCTGCTAGCATGCTGGCCAATTTCTGAGGACAAGCAATGAATGGCAATAGCCCACGCATCAACCAGCCTTCTTCCATTCCTGTACCCCCTCAGTGCCCTTCCCGATCCGCCGTTCGTAACATTTTACAATGTATAATGTCATGCTATAGGTATAAAAAATATATATTAAATGTATTGTACAGTATGTATTTTCTCGTATTCTCACGCATTCCTTTGGCAAACATAATTGTTAGAGATTTCCTATTTTGTATTTTAATATAGTGCACATTTTCTTAATATGAACAACATCAAATGGTCAATGCCTAAATATTTTCAATACATTCATTAAGAAGTTATCTCTATTATGAGGGGAAAAAAGGTAATCCTTTGTAAACATCATTTTTAATACAAGCATTTTTTTAGTGTTATAAAAGAGAGAGGAAATGCTTTGCATTTAATTTATATAATTTTATTAAATTTTGCACTGTTGATCATTCACCAAATAAAAGTACATTTGGATGGTTAATAAGCACAAACTAAAATAGTAAAGCTATAGCAACAGATGTTATTTGATATGATAAATGTACAAAATGACATGTAGTTAGGCAAAATGTAAAATCCTAAAATAGCATTGTCATGAGTTTTACTGAAGGAAACTTTAGCATTGCAGTTCCTCATTTACACCTCACAGCGCCGCTGTTTGACCAGTAAGCAGAAAAATACAGAACTGGAGATCCACTGGTATGTTAATCTTTCACACACACTGCAGATCTGCAAGAAGAGGTACAGCCATTTCTGGATCCTCCCTGGATATTGTCTCTTTTTAGTCACAATGTATTAAATGATACCTTCTTCCTCTCTCACTGGATTACAAATATGAAAAATAGATTTGATGGAAGATTGTAGGTGTTAACAATGGATCAGATGAAGCCAAAGACATTCAAGGGACTGATATGGCAAGTATTATTTTCCTTCTTATTTTGCTGGCTAAGTCATTTAGTCTCTGGTCAAATTAATTATTCCATTAAAGAAGAAATGAGAAAAGACTCTGTTATAGCAAATATTGTAAAGGATCTAGGATTAGATATAAAACAGCTTTCATCTGGAGGACTAAGAATTGTGTCACAAGATTCAGAGAAATATTTTTATGTGAATGGAGATAATGGAAATCTGTATGTGAAGGACAGGATAGATAGAGAAATATTATGTGGGGCATCAGCTACCTGCTTTCTAACCTTTGATACTATGCTTGAAAATCCTTTCAATATTTTCAAAGTGAAAATAGAAATTCAGGATATTAATGACAATTCTCCAGTGTTTTATCCAGAGACCTTCACTATAGAGACAATTGAACTAACATCACCAGGAACAAGATTTGCATTACAAAATGCAGAAGATCTGGATATTGGTGTTAATTCAGTACAAACATATAGGCTCAGTGACAATCCACATTTTACACTAAGTCAGAAGCTTAGCAGTGATGGATTTCAATCTCTGGAGCTTGTGTTGGAAAAATCACTGGATCAAGAATTACAAAATCTTCATGAACTTACTTTAACAGCTTTGGATGGAGGAAATCCTGTGAGAACTGGAACAGCTATATTACGAATCATTGTTACTGATGTTAATGATAATTTCCCAATATTTTCCCATAAGGTATATAAAGTTAGTGTGGATGAGAATAGTCCAGTAAATACTACTATAATCAATGTGAATGCAACAGACAAAGATGCTGGTACAAATGGACAAATCATTTATTCCTTCAGCAAAACTTCAGGAGATGTACATCTTTCTGGCCTTTTTAGCATTGAACCCAAAAGTGGTGACATTAAAATAAACAAAATGTTAGATTATGAAGAGACAAGGAATTATGAACTGTCTGTTCAAGCTAAGGATGGAGGAGGACTTATCTCTCATTGTAAAGTATTGATAGAAGTGATAGATAAGAATGACAATGCACCAGAGATATCCATTACCTCATTATCTTCACCCATTCCTGAGGATTCTGGGCCTGGAACAATGATAGCTCTCATTAAAGTTCACGATAAAGATTCAGGAGAAAATGGACAAGTTGATTGTAACATTTTTGAGGAGACACCTTTCAGCTTAGTATTATCATCTGATATCTATTACAGAATTGTGACTACAAGTAATTTGGACAGAGAGATAGTATCTAGTTATAACTTCACAGTCTTAGCTCAAGATAGAGGGTCTCATCCTCTTTCAAAGAGAATAATAATCAGACTGGAGATTTTAGATGTTAATGACAACCCACCAGTTTTTATGAAAACTTCTCATGCCATTTATATACCAGAAAACAATTTACCTGGAACCCCTATCTACAGAGGACAAGCTTCAGATCCTGATTATGGAGAGAATGCTAAAATTAAATATTCCATATATAGCAAAGAATTGCTGGTGTCTTCTTATTTTTCTGTTAATATGGAGAATGGAGTCCTCTATGCTCAGAGATCATTTGACTATGAACAGCAAAAGGAATTTATAGTACAAGTTAATGCCAGAGATAATGGCTCTCCATCGCTGAGCAGCAATTTAACATTGATAATTCGCATAGTGGATCACAATGACAATGAACCAAAAATTTTGTATCCATATCAAGAAAGTGGGGGATTGGCTGTGTTTGAGATGGTCCCTCTTGCCTCAGAACCAGGATCTTTAATAACAAAGGTGGTTGCAGTGGATGCAGACATTGGGCATAATGCTTGGCTGTCCTATCATT